GGAAGGAGACACTGGAGCGCGCGGGTACCAGGGGCAACGGGGCGCCTCCCTGATCTCCTATAGACCTCCCAGGCTGGCCTCGCACAAGTAGGGGAGGAAAATGGGACCAACACTCGAATATCGCCCTCCCTCTGGTCCTCAGGAATCCTCCTGGGTTTCCAGATCCTGTGCCAGAGAATGACTCTGAGGGACTGCCCTGCTCTCTGATACAATCAAAGGATGAAGTCTCTGAGGGAGTGGAGGTGAAGACAATCCCTGGAATACTGATCAGGGTTCCCTTTGACCCCACAGCAGCCTTGGGTACCAAGCCATTTCCTCTCGGGCCTGGTTCTCTGCTTCACAGTCATGTGTGTGGGGGTCGGACTCCAGGTCCTCTGAGTCCCTTGGCCTCTACTCAGGACAGGACCAGCAGTCCCTCCTACTCTGCTCAGAGACTAGAACTTTCCAAGGAACAGGACATTATCCCAGGTGCCTGGGTCCAGGCTGGTGTCTAGGTTCTGTGCTCCCTTCCCCACCCCAGGTGTCCTGTACCTTCTCAGGATGGTCACATGGGTGCTGCAGCAGTGTCCCATGAGAGGTGCAAGATGTCTGAATTTCCTCACTCTTCCCTTCAGAGCCCCCCAAGACACACATGACCCACCACCCCATCTCTGATCATGAGGCCACCCTGAGGTGCTGGGCCCTCGGCTTCTACCCTGCAGAGATCACACTGACCTGGCAGCAGGATAGGGAGGACCAGGCCCAAGACATGGAGCTCATAGAGACCAGGCCCGCAAGGGATGGAAACTTCCAGAAGTGGGTGGCTGTGGTGGTGCCTTCTGAAGAGGAGCAGAGATACACATGCCATGGGCAGCATGAGGGGCTGCCTGAGCCCCTCACCCTGAGATGGGGTAAGGAGGGGATGGGGTGTCATGTCTCTTAGGGAAAGCCGGAGTCCCTCTGCATCCCTTCAGCAGGGTCAGGGCTGGGGCCTGGGATCAGGGTCCCTCACCTTCCCCTCCTTTCCCAGAGCCGCCCTCCCAGCCCACCATCCCCATCGTGGGCATCGTTGCTGGCCTGGCTGTCCTTGGAGCTGTAGTCACTGGAGCTGTGGTCGCTGCTGTGATGTGGAGGAAGAAGAGCTCAGGTGAGGAAGGGGTTAGGAGTGGTGTCTGAGATTGCTTGTCCCACTGAGTGTTCCAAGCCCCAGGTAGAAGTGTGCCCTGCCTGGTTACTGGGAAGCATCATCCACACTCATGAGCTTATCCAGCCTGGGCCCTGTGTGCCAACACTTACTCTTGTGTAAAACACCTGTGACAATGAAGGACAGATGTATCACCTTGATGACTGTGGTGATGGGGACCTGATCCCAGCAGTCACAGGTCACAGGGGAACGTCCCTGCTGAGGACAGTCCTTAGGAAGGCAGTTGGTCCAGGACCCACAGCTGCTTTGCTTGTTTTTCCTGATCCTGCCCTGGGTCTGCAGTCACACATTTCTGGAAACTTCTCTGGGGTCCAAGACTAGGAGGTTCCTCTACGACCTCATGGCCCCGCCACCATTCTGGGCTCTCACACAATATTTTCTTCCCATAGATAGAAAAGGAGGGAGCTACTCTCAGGCTGCAAGTAAGTATGAAGGAGGCTGATCCCTGAGATCATTGGGATATTGTTGTCTGGAGCCCATGGGGGAACCCACCCAGCCGCAATTCCTCCTGTAGCTGCATCTCCTGTGAGTTCTGACCAGGTCCTGCTTTTGTTCTATCCCAGGCAATGACAGTGCCCAGGGCTCTGATGTGTCTCTCACATCACCTTGTAAACGTGAGACACTGAGGACCCTGATGTGTGTGGGTGTTGGGGAGAACAGTGTACACAGCTGTGCTATGGGGTTTGTTGGAGTGGGATGTATTGAGCATGTGATGGGCTCTTTAAAGTGTCACCCCTCACTGTGACTGATACGAATTTGTTCATGAATATTTTTCTATAGTGTGAGACAGCTGCCTTGTGTGGAACTGAGAGACAAATTTTGTTCACACCTTCCCTTTGTGACTTCAAGAACCCTGACTTCTCTTTCTGAAAAGGCATCTGAATGTGTCTGTGTCTCTATAGACATAATGTGAGGAGGTGGGGAGACAACCCAGCCCCGTGTCCACCATGACCCCCTTCCCCACGCTGACCTGTATTCCTTCCCCATCACCTTTCCTGTTCCAGAGACCTGGGGCTGAGATGTCTCCATCTCTGTCTCAACTTCATGGTGCACTGAGCAGTAACTTCTTACTTTCCTATTAACATTAGAATCTGAGTATAGTTTACTTTTTCAAATTATTCCATGAGAGGTTGATGGGTTAATTAAAGGAGAAGATTCCTGAAATTTGAGACACAAAATAAATGGAAGACCCAAGAACCTTCGACAGTACACGTGTTTTTTGTGCTGATTTGTTGCAGGAGTGGAGTAGATGGGGCTGTGTCCAGTAGGTGTGCAGGCCACTGTGGGCTTTATGTGGTCACTGCTTGACTAGGTCATCTTTGCTGCTCCATTGTCCTTGATCCTTCAAAAGAACCTTGTCTTACCATGACCTGTGATCACAGGGACTTGGAAGTCACCTAGTGTGGTTCCTACACATAGACACCGTTGTGGTATGAAGAGACACATTTTCAGACCCCCGTACCTCTTGCCCTCCTTCCATGTCTCTTTCCCGGATTGTATTTTCCAAATTTCCCCAACCTTCTTAAAGAAAGCAGATTTGGAAACTTGCAGTGAAGAGGGGTCCCATGGATTTTCACCGTAGGTAACTTTCTGTTGGAACTCCTTCTGCTCTCTCTCCTACTCTTCTTCCTGCCTGAGTTGTAGTAATCCTAGTGCTGCCTCCAATCCAAACTCACGGATTTATAAAGCTGAGTCTAACTTAGATTCATATGTGGTTGAAAAATTGGACCCATAAGCCCAGGGTTATCTTTCCTGAAGAGTAAAATATGGTTGTGTGCTGCAGCGTGCAGGAGGGTTGGTGTGGGAGGAGGGAGGGAGGCAGGGAGGGCATACACGCATCCCTGGTTAGAAAAGCTCTGGCAGCACTGATGTCAGTGTGAGATGATGTTGTTCTGTAGCTGCCACAAAACAGCATTTGACCTGAGGCTACATTAATAAAGATATTGCCTTTAGAATGGGGAGGTGCCCTACAGTGATAATTCATTCAACTGACATTTGTTGTCTGTTAGCTATATGACTGTTTTCGCATTTAGAAAACATCATTAAAGATAAAACAGAAAAAATGTCAGACTTCCAGTGTATATGTTCTAGATGCAAGCTTGTCCAAGCTGCAGCTCACAGGCTGCATGTGGCCCAGGACAGCTTCGAATGTGAAGTCGATTTTGCTTATCTGTGGTGGCAGATATCATAAAAATTATGCGTGTACTTTTTTCTTTTTTTGATTATTTTCTGCTCATCAGCTATCATTAGTGTCTTTTATGTGTGCCTCAAGACAATTCTTCTTCTTCCCACGTGGTTCAGGGAAGCCAAAAGACTGCACACCTCTGTAGGCAGATGATAGATACAGTATAAGCAGAGTAAGGGCAGAAAATGCTTGAGTTAGAAGGTGGCAAGTGCTGTGGGGCAGGGGATCCAGAGTGTGGGCTGTGGGGACAGGGGGGTGGCTGCTGTGCTGGGTGGTCAGCATGGGCCTCGTGGCAAATGTGACCTTTGAGTGAAGATTTGAGGGATGTGAGGAGCTGTCCACAAGGATGACTGGGAAAGCTCTTTTCAGGCAGGAACCTTCAGTGCAGATGCACTAGGGCAGGAAAGTGTCTGTGTTCCTGGAAGGAGGAAGAGGTGAGAAGGGCTGGACAGAGAAAAACTGAAATGAGGTCAGAGGTGTGGTCAGAGCAGGGAGGCCTGGTGGGTGTGGGAAGGGTTTTGACCTTTGCTCTGAATGGCATGGTGAGTTAGAGGACAGTTTTGAAAAGTGGGACATGGTGGGACTTATCCTTTGAAAGCTTCTCTCTGGCTGCTGTGCTGAGAACACAATTGAGAGGTGGGGGACAAGTGAGGCAGTAGGGAAATGCTGGGGAAGGAGAGCAGTATTCCAGGATGGAGACGCTGGTTACCTTGACTGGGGTGTGAGCAGGGGAAATGGTGGGAAGTGATGGGATTCCGGATGAATTTGAAGATGGACTTCACAGCACTTGCTAATGGATTGCATCTGTGGTGTGAGAAAGAAGAATCAAGGACAGCCACAGTGTTGGACTGAGTGAGTAGAAGGGTGGAGCTGCTGTCCGTGGAGACGGGGAGACTCTGGCAGGAGCATACGGAGGAGAGGGCATCGCGGGCATTCAGTGGAGGAGACATCTACGAGGAGTGCAGGTGAGGGGCCCGGATTCCTCTGCAGCTACAGCTTCACCACCCAGTTACTCTCCTGCTTCCACCCCCTGTGTCTCAGAGCCAGAGCACTGATTCTCCCCTGGGCTGTCTGCACAGGTAGGTGGAAGTCAGGGAAGTTATGGTCTGCTGTCGGTTATAATAAGTCATGGATTATTGCGCTTTCTCAGAAAATTAAAGTAATGATAAATGAATTTGTAGCTAGAACACATTCAGAAGACTACAATAATGCAAAGTGTTTTATTCATCTAAAGACTGCAATGGAAGAAAAATTGTTGAACAAAAAAGAGACAATATTAGAAGACAGCAAATGATAATGTACAGACTTAAGCCCAATGAGGTCAACAATGACATTAAACATAAGGGACTCACACGCTCCAATGACAAGACAAATAGTGCAGAGGGGGAAAATAAGTCAATATATAAATAACTGTTGGCTGTTTACAAAAGCCATAATTTCAGTAGGAGATACAAAAACTGAAAGGAAAAGGGTAGAAAACAAATACCAGACAAACAATTATGAAAACCACACGGATATGCCATTTGGAAAAATTAGATGATGTGAATCTCCTGAGACATGGAGTACAGGTAGACAGCTTCCCATGTCTTTTGACTTTTTTAAGAAACAGGGTGTATTGCCCAGACTGAAATACCTCAGTGTAACCTCAAAATTCTGGGCTGAAGCAATTCTCCTGCCTCAGCCTTACACATAGCTAGGACTACAGGCATGTGCCAATACACCTGGCTAGAACGTCTCATTTTCTCATTTGATC